TCGCTTGATCACACTCGCCTCAGGAGCGGTGAAACGGCCCTGGTCGACCGCGGTTCTTTTGTTGCCGATAGTCATCGTCCGGCGAGTACAACGTGCGGTCCTTCCGCCTATGCCTACAGGTTCTATGTGTTTAAACTTCGTGCTGCTGCACTGCTACCTTAAAGGTCGCCCGTAATGGATTCAGGGCTACCGACAGGAACTCAAACGTATGGCCGTCTTGAGCGACATCGTAGCGCTCAGAGTTTTTAAAATGATTAATATGTAGCCAGCGACGCTTCGGACTTCGGAGGCCAAAGGACGCCTGGTAAGCAGCAGAGAGCTCGTTGTGAAGAACTTACGCTGCGTCATATTTCACCCAAGTACAACCGAGGTACGCGTGCGTTTGCACGGATGCATTTTCACGTTCACGACGACACCGTGCGTAGACTTTTAGAGCCCTACGGCAAGGTGATTGAGGTCGGCCGGGAGATGTGGCAAGTCGATTGTTTCCAAGGAACCAATTCAACGACGCATTTTGTTTCCATGACGCTAAAGAGCGGCCTCACCCCTGACGATATGCTTCACCATCTGCTGCTTCATGTCGCGAACACCCTTATTGTCATACCAGGCAGAATGACCGCATGCCTGCAATGCAAGCGCGCAGGGGCATATCAGACGGGAGTGTCGCACGCCAAAGTGTTGGCACTGCTTTCGCTTCTTCCACGACAAAGAGTGCATGAAGACGTACACCGGCGTCAACGGAGTCCAATCGCTGGAGGAGCATAGGGCGTTAACGATGGACACTGAAGGGGCCGAGAAATCTGCGCGTGGTTTGGAGTTGGACGCCCCACCATCTACAGAGCAACAAGGGAAGCATGCCGGAGATGGCGGTTCCGGGGAAGGCGCAGTGGGGAGAAGAAAAATACAAGTTAGCCCCTCAGGTTCCGGGGCCTGTTTGCGCTCTGCTCCGACATAGGTTGAGGGCTCCAAGACCGCAGCCACTGCGCGTCCTTCGACGGCCGAATAAAAGACCTCCGAGCGCCACGACGACATGGACGAAACCACCCAGTGAACCAAGCGTGGCCTCGAGGATACGCCCCCGACCTCCGACACGACGCTCAACCGTAACTCTTTAAGGGAGTTCGAGAAGAACGAGCGGGGCCGTTTCAAGGTGGTGCTGAACGCACTCCCGGAAGACAGGCAGCGCTGCGACTCCGAGTAAGACGGCAACGCCTGGTTTCCAGAACTGGTGGAAGAGCGACAAGGTAAGCGCGGCATCATAGACTTTATGGTTCGTACTCTCAAATCGGTCGTTTCGGGTGCAACGCTAAACGCTTTAGGTTTTAAGAGGCGCCACAAAAAATACCAGGTGTAGCACCTGTTGCAGGTACAGAAACCCAATTTCTTACGGCATTGCAGGAAACCAAGTAGGCGGAGGAGGCGCAGGTTTCTAGCGGAGTACAGCCTTTTTTATACTCACGTGATGTTTGTGTCACCCCAACTCTCGGGGTCTCGGGAGGCTTTTTTATTTTTTATTTGAAGAAGTCGTAGCCCTCGCCGGAGTTGGCCGTTACAACCGACACGGAGACGTTTTATTATGTACGATTTTGTTTTTTTCGACAGTCCCCTTGCGGCTTATCTACATATACGCCTCCAGTGCGGTGAAAGACTGTTTCCTTTTTTTCTGGCTTAGGTCGATTTGTAGACTGTGATAGAATAATCGTGCTGTGTGGTGATTTTATTTGTGTTGTCCGAGCGATTGATAGAGCGCCTATCAGGCAACGCACCGATAGGGATATTACCGTCCTCAGCAATTTGCTCGAGGACTTCGACTTGATAGACACTGGAACCGTGCGGAATGAAACCTCCCAGACGAATTTCACACATTTCTAGGCTTCATCGCATGCGTGGCTAGAGAGATTTTACGTTTCGGCAACGCTGGCAACCTTGCCAACAGAATATCGGGTCATACCGTTTTTTTTTAGATCACTGCTTTGTGTCGACAACGATTGGTGGAAGAACGCTGCCTAGGGCACACTTTGATTGGAAACTTTGGAAACGTAATACCAAGCTTCTTAGCGATATCTATTTTTCTTGTTGGGGGGGAGGGGGGTAGAGGGGGAGGGGGGAGGTGATAACATTTTAAAACCATGCCTTCAGGGACAGGGAAAAGACATTTTTGATATCTTGAAAACAGTCAGGAAGGGAGTTAGGATTCTCGTGACTGAAAGGTCGTCTGTTTTAGCTTACGAGGAGCGCGGTGCCGAACGCACTTTAAGCGTCAATTTTTAGGGGCTGTTGAGAGCGGAGCGCCAAACACCCGGAGTGGCTCTCGAGGACTTGAGAAGTGTTAACGATCGACTTTATCTACAGCATCATGAGCGTTACCGGGGAGCCATTGATTGTGTTCGGTCAGAGAAGTACCTGCTGGGAGAGCAGCCGACCAAGAGAGGGTTAGTCGCCGAGAAACTACACGCTCTGCGCGGCGAAATTGGCGAAATTGAGCAGAACGGCGTGAGCAGCACGGACCGGAGTATTATTAAGCAAGTGTTTGTTACCATTTATCAAACGCTTTTTTATTCCCACGTGTAGGGGAGGAAGGACCTAGAGTGCGGGAACCTTCTCGAACACCTACCGGAGCTGGTGGAAGAGGAAGAGGACAGCCTTTCGCAGTCAAGCACCTTAAGGATTTTGAAAAAGCAATCGACAATTTTAGAAATTCCAAAACGCAATTACCCTATATATACTTTAAACGCCGAGTTCTATAGCAAATAGAAGTGCACAGCGTCTGGGATTTTATTTATCTTTTTTTTTTTTGCATCATAACAGAAACCGTTGCCGCCGTTTTTCATGTGATCATATACTGTCCTCATTCCTAAAAGTGACGACGCCGAGAAAGTACGTTAAGTCACGGGGCTTCGCCCAATCACCTTGTGTAATGTTGACCACACAATTTTGGTGAAAATTCTATCGCGGCGGTTTCAGAGAGTGGCCTGCCAGTTTATTGACCCCACCAAACGTGCGGCATTAAAGACATGTCTATTACAACTAATGTTCATGTAGCTCGCAGTATTCTCGAGGCATGCGATGGTGGTGTGGGCAAAATTGCCATGCTACAATTGCACCTAGACAAGACTTTTGATCGTGTTAAGCACGACGTTCTTTTTGGTGTTTTGGAACGTGTCAACGTGGGTAATGTCACTTTTGAAGGAGCCAAAATGTCCTATCAGGGATATACCACGAGAGTTATTGTCAACAAAGAATTGACCTAACCTATCCATGTTCGGACGTCAGTAAGAGAGGGTTGTACTAGGTCGCCACTATTTTTTTGTACAGATTTATATTTTTTTTGGCACCCTGAATGGCAAGGAATGTCGGGGCGTCGGTCTGAAAAAGGAAGACGCTAAAGTTATTAGTTACGCGGATGACAATGCAGAATTTTGTACCGACAAGCAAAGCGTCAGTGCCGTGTTTTCCTTTAGCGAAAACATTTCGTGAAGCTACTGGTGCTGCTACAAAATGGAGCAAGTGCAACAGGTTTTGGCACGGCGCGTGGGCCACAACGCCTTCTGTGTTTGAGAGCATATGTTGGGACTGTGTGCCTGGCATGTACCTCGGCGTGTCATTCAACTGTTATCGAGTAAACAAAACCTATTAATCGGTTATCGCAACCGACCTGAGCAGGCGCGTTTCTCGCTAGAAGAGGTCTATTGTTGCCAGAGGGACGTTTAGTAAGGTTTTTCTTGTATCGAAGCTCTGGTATGTTTTGCAAACGATACATTGTGCACGGATAAATATACAGACCTTTCACCAAGTTTTTGCCACTTTTATCTGGAGATCAAGTGTCGAGCCGATGGGGCGAAATTCTCTGTTTCTCCAAGTATGGGGCGGAGGATTGGGGCTATAGCATTTGTTTGTCAGTGTCACAAAATCCGGCTATGTTACGTTATTCATGTCACAAAATCCGACTGTGTACGTTATCCATTCTCCCGGGCCAGACGCGTCCTTCCAAGAAATTCGCGGGGAGTGAGGTCTGGGACCCAGCTCCCCCGAAAACGAAGCGATGCTCCCTTTGGGGGAGGATGAAGGGACGAGCGGGCCAGCGCCCTGGGGTTTCTTTTTGTTTTGTTTTCCACGCCTGCGTGCTGGAATGCGGGGGCCCGTCCAGGGGGACTCTTTGGGGCAAAGGCGAGCAGTGTGAGCGGGAAACTCGGAAGCAACAGGCGGGGAATCGAAGCGCCGAGTCCGTGGAGCTCAACGGTAGCGGGCCAGGTCCGGACTGGGGAAGACTTCGACGACGAAGTGTGTACGTGTGATTGTGTGGCCGCTTCAAGCCGCCCAACCCACCGTGGTACCACCGGGACCATTCCTTCCCCCTTCGGACAGCGCCTCGCAAGACCGGCACTCCCGGACACTGTGAGACGAGATTTCCCCTCCACTCGCACTTTCCTTTTTATAGTAATTAAGGAAGCGGTATTTCTGTACTTGGTTTTTATTCTCACGGGTGTCCGATTGTATTATTTGATAACATTTAAGCTCCGAAGTTATTTTTTTTTCCATGTTCGGGGAAGCTCCCGCGTAAGAGATGGTTACTGCATTGTATTGAGCGGTAGACTTTGGGTTTTGCCTAATTCGTTGTGCGTTGAGTGATTTATCTTCGCCGCCCGTGCACCGGCCGGGTGAAGTGCGTTCGAGTCCTGTTGTTTTCGCAGCTCGGCACTTGTTTACCTTTATTGTGTTTTCTTTTGTTTTGTTTGTAGTATTAAATTCGTTTCGTTGCAAAACTGTGGTCTCCCCTTCATTGGCAAGACTCCACCGAGGCGTGGACCTATCGCCTGGTCGGCAGTCCTTTGTGTTTAAACAGAGAATATCAGCAAACCTGTGACAAAACTGGCGTCCGCGGCAGGACATGGCTGACAATGGTGGAGACTTGCCTTTGGAGGGCTGCGAGTAGAAACCGCGTGATTTGAGGGAAGTGTGGTTCGGCAGTTCGCCCAGCGGCGAGCTTGGGTAGGCCAGACATGGAAATTGAAAAACTCGTGGCACTGGGAACCAAACTAGACCTCTCGGGAGCAGAACTAAAAAGGTGGATAGAGGAAGAGACCGCCAAGCAAAGAGAGGAGAGAGCCTTAGAGCGAGAAGCTACTAGGGAGGCTACCGAGCGGGAACAAGAGGCGGCGAAAGCAGCCGCCGAGAGGGAGCTCGAGATATTGAGGCTGAGGCTAGAGCTTGAGAACAAGAAGGAGGGGAACCGCTCATCCGGAGCAGGAACTGACCTCGAGGGTCATAGCGTTTTGAAATTGAATCCGAACAAGCTCCTACTCGCCTTCGACGAAAGGAAGGACGACCTCGACGCTTATATAAGAAGGTTTGAGGGAATTGCCTTAAGTCAAAAGTGGCCAGAAAGCCAATGGGCCACCGCCCTAAGCACGTGCCTCACGGGGGAAGCCCTTAGTGTGTATGGGCGATTGCCGCCCGTAGATGCCGCCGATTACGGCAAAGTGAAAGCCTCGCTGCTGAAGAGGTTCCGGTTCACCGTTGAAGGCTTTCGCGATAAATTCCGTGATGGGAAGCCAGTAGATGGAGAGACAGCCACTCAATACGCCGCCAGGCTTGGCCACTACTTCGACCGGTGGGTCGAGCTGGCCGCAGTGACCAAAGATTTTGAAGGTCTCCGAGAGCTGGTCATCAAAGAGCAGTTCTTAAAGGGTTGTCATCCAGCCCTGGCCATCTACCTGAAGGAAAGAAAACAGCCACATTTGGAAGGACTGTTGGAGATGGCCGACCAGTTTTTGGACGCGCAGGGTCACAGTAACCTGGGGAAAGCCGGGAAAGGCGAGGCCGAACCCTCAGCGAAGAAAAGTAGCGAGGGGGGCGGGCCTCCGCGGCCTGCTATGAGGTGCTACCTCTGTAATAAGACGGGGCACAAAGCTGCACAATGTCGTAGCCTGTACAACACCGGACAGGTGCCCACATGTCAAAGGTGTGGTAGGAAGGGACATAAGACGGAGGTCTGCCGGGGCCAGACAAAACCTCAGGCGTCAGGCATCTATATGCCCCGACAAGACAGAAAGGACGGAAACGTCACGGATGGGTTTTTAGAGCTGAAGGATGGGACGAAAATTCCGGTCGTCAACGCGGTAATGACCCCGCGTCATAAGTTCCTGGTCGAGGGAATGCCAGTCGTTGAGGGCACAATCGGACAGAAAAAGATAACGGTTCTGCGCGACACGGGTAGTAACACGGTCATCGTAAGACGAGGATTGGTCGACGACGGCCTCCTCACTGGAACCAAAAAGCCGGTGTATCTCGTGGATGGAACCGTGAAAATGCTTCCCGAGGCCCATATCCACGTTAAAACGCCCTACTTCAACGGAGGACTCAAAGCCCTGTGCATGGACGGGCCCCTGTACGACCTCGTGCTCGGCAATATTCCCGGCGCTAGAGAACCGGACGACCCCGCGACTGATGTAGGGGTGGGGGACGACCCGATACCGACGGAGCGAGTGCAGGAGGACCCGGCGGAACGTGACACACAGGAGAGCCAAGACGAGCCAGGACGCGAAACCCGGGCGGAAGTGGAAGATCCCTTAACTCCGGCGTGTGCCGTGGAAACCAGGACCCAGAGTAAGAAAAAACAAACTAGATTGAAAAAACTACACGTGCCTCAAATCGAAGGGCTGGCCACCGACACGCCGGGCTTTGCAAAGGAGCAGGAAGAGGATGACACCCTGCGCCCCTGCTTTAAGCGGATTGGGGAAAAGGCCAGGGGAAAGACGGCCACGATCACGTATACAACCGGAGAGGGGCAAGGGCTTCTTTATCGAGTATACCGGGAGCGGTCGGGGAGAGAGACGACCGAAAAACTGTGCTGCAGGTTGCCCATGAAAGCATTATGGCGGGACACCTGGGGCAGGCGAAGACGAAGAGCCGTATCCTGGAAGAGTTCTTCTGGCCGGGATTGGGCTCGGACGTACGGCGGTTCGTGCTATCGTGTGACGTGTGCCAGCGAACAACACCGAAAGGAAAGGTCCCTCGCGTCCCACTGGGTGGGAGCCCCTTAATAGATACCCCATTTCAGAGGGTTGCTATCGACATCGTGGGACCGATGGCTCCGGCATCGGGCCGAGGGAACCGGTACATACTGACAATGGTAGACTACGCGACTCGCTACCCGGACGCCGTGGCTTTGCCCAGCATCGAAACCGAAAGAGTGGCAGAGGCCCTGGTCGAGATGTTCGCGCGGGTCAGAATGCAACGAGAGATATTAAGCGACCGGGGCTCGAATTTCACTTCCGAGCTAATGAAAGAGATCAGCCGGCTCCTGTCGATAAGACAGTTGCACACGTCCCCCTACCACCCCATGGCGAATGGATTGGTGGAGAAGTTCAATGGAACACTTAAACTCATGCTCAAGCGAATGTGCTCCGAGAGACCCAAGGATTGGGACCGGTATTTGCCCGCATTGCTGTTTGCCTACCGGGAGGTGCCGCAGGCGAGCCTCGGCTTTTCGCCTTTTGAATTGTTGTACGGTCGCCACGTCCGGGGCCCGCTAGCCATTCTGAGAGAGGTGTGGACCAACGTCGAGCTCGACGCAGAGCTCCGGACCACCTATGAGCACGTGCTCGACCTCAGGAATCGCCTCGAGGAGACGTGCAAAATCGCCCACGAGGAACTCGCGAGGTCGGGAGCTCGTTACGCTCGATACTACAACCGGAAAGCCAAGGAGCGGACTTTCCAGCCGGGAGAGAAGGTGCTCCTACTGCTCCCCACGGACAACCACAAACTTCTGCTGCAGTGGAAGGGGCCCTTCCTCGTTACGAGAAAAACAGGAGAGGTCGACTACGAGATCCAGACCGCGACCGGCCTGAAATTGTTCCACGCTAACCTACTGAAGAAATACGAGGAGCGGGGAATCGAGAAGGAAGACGAGCGACAGGCCTGCGCGGTTCTCTCACTGACGGAAACCGAAGACGACCAGCCGATCCCTCTACCAGCATTCCAGAGAGAGGAAGGCCCCGGAGACGCGAAAGTTTCATCGAAGCTTAGTGCTGAGCAAAAGTCGCAGCTCGACCGCGTAATGCGCAGCCATGAGAACATCTTCTCTGACGTTCCGGGAAAAACCACATGGATACAGTGCGAGTTGAAGCAGACTACAGATACCCCCATCTATGTGCGACAATACCCACTGCCATTTGCGACCCACACGAAGGTTGAGGAAGAGGTGCAAGAAATGCTCAGGCTCGGAATAATAGAAAAATCCAGCTCTGCGTACAACGCACCCGTCCTGCTCGTCAAGAAGCCGGACGAAACAAATCGGCTGTGCGTCGATTTCAGACGTCTAAACGGCGTCTTAGTTCCAGACTCCGAACCCATGCCACGAGTCGACGCCGTTTTCGCCGCCGTCGGAAACAAACGCTACTTCTCAAAGATGGATTTTGTGAAGGGCTACTGGCAGATCCCACTCAGCGACGATTCCCAGCCCAAGACCGCATTTTCGACGATTTCGGGACTGTACCATTTTCGGTACATGCCGTTTGGGGTCAAGACCGCTCCGGCGGTATTTGCCAAACTGATGCGGAAGGTGGTGGATGGAATCCCAGATGTGGCCCATTACTACGACGATGTGTTGGTGGCTACCGACAGCTGGGAGCAACACCTCACTGCACTGCTGACACTGTTTGGCCGTATCCAAGCAGCAGGGCTGACCATTCGCCCAACCAAGTGCGAGTTTGGGATGGAACAAATTGACTTCCTGGGTCACCGCATCGGAAAGGGACAGCTCGCCCCCCTCGGAAAGACGCTCGACAAAATCGAGAAGGCGAGTGCGCCGACCACCAAGCGCCAGGTGCGGGCGTTCCTCGGACTAACGGGATACTACCGGGATTTTATTCCCGACTACGCAATGATCAGTGGGCCGCTAACGGACCTCACGAAGAAAAAAGAAAGGAACCAGGTGGAGTGGAGGACCGCTCATCAGTCGGCGTTCGACGAGCTGAAAGAACGGATCGCAAATCCGCCGATCCTGAGACTCCCAGATTTTGGAAAAGACTTCGTCCTCAGGACCGATGCTTCCGACACAAGTCTCGGAGCTATGTTAATGCAGCAGCATGACAGCCGCTTACATCCGGTGGCTTACGCGAGCCGGAAGCTGCTTGCTCGTGAGGCCGCCTACAGCACCATCGAAAGGGAGTGCTTGGCATTGGTCTGGGGAGTGCAGAAATTCAGTCCATACCTTTACGGTAGGAAATTCCTCGTACAAACCGACCACCAGCCGCTGAAGTACATCAATCAGGCGAAGCATCTGAACAGTAGAGTGCTGAGGTGGAGCCTCCTCTTGCAGGAATTTCCTTTCACTATCGAACATATCAAGGGCAGCGAAAATGTGGGCGCTGATTTCCTAAGCCGCTTGTAAGTCCGCCTCACTAATGAGGCTTTGTTTTTTCTCTATTAAGCCAATATACGTATGTTATGTTTACTCCGTACTTCGTTTGTATCCTCCGAATATGAAAACTTCCCACTGTTGGAATGTGCGCGGCTTATCTCATATGGAGCGCAGTTTGGTTTGCTTAGTATATGTACTCTTGATTTTTATTTTTTTTTTGTGCGCTATTGTTAGCCGAGTTTTTGTGAAGAGTTAGTTTAAATATTCACGGGTGAATCTTCTTAAGTGAAGGGCAGTGTCACAAAATCCGGCTATGTTACGTTATTCATGTCACAAAATCCGACTGTGTACGTTATCCATTCTCCCGGGCCAGACGCGTCCTTCCAAGAAATTCGCGGGGAGTGAGGTCTGGGACCCAGCTCCCCCGAAAACGAAGCGATGCTCCCTTTGGGGGAGGATGAAGGGACGAGCGGGCCAGCGCCCTGGGGTTTCTTTTTGTTTTGTTTTCCACGCCTGCGTGCTGGAATGCGGGGGCCCGTCCAGGGGGACTCTTTGGGGCAAAGGCGAGCAGTGTGAGCGGGAAACTCGGAAGCAACAGGCGGGGAATCGAAGCGCCGAGTCCGTGGAGCTCAACGGTAGCGGGCCAGGTCCGGACTGGGGAAGACTTCGACGACGAAGTGTGTACGTGTGATTGTGTGGCCGCTTCAAGCCGCCCAACCCACCGTGGTACCACCGGGACCATTCCTTCCCCCTTCGGACAGCGCCTCGCAAGACCGGCACTCCCGGACACTGTGAGACGAGATTTCCCCTCCACTCGCACTTTCCTTTTTATAGTAATTAAGGAAGCGGTATTTCTGTACTTGGTTTTTATTCTCACGGGTGTCCGATTGTATTATTTGATAACATTTAAGCTCCGAAGTTATTTTTTTTTCCATGTTCGGGGAAGCTCCCGCGTAAGAGATGGTTACTGCATTGTATTGAGCGGTAGACTTTGGGTTTTGCCTAATTCGTTGTGCGTTGAGTGATTTATCTTCGCCGCCCGTGCACCGGCCGGGTGAAGTGCGTTCGAGTCCTGTTGTTTTCGCAGCTCGGCACTTGTTTACCTTTATTGTGTTTTCTTTTGTTTTGTTTGTAGTATTAAATTCGTTTCGTTGCAAAACTGTGGTCTCCCCTTCATTGGCAAGACTCCACCGAGGCGTGGACCTATCGCCTGGTCGGCAGTCCTTTGTGTTTAAACAGAGAATATCAGCAAACCTGTGACAAAACTGGCGTCCGCGGCAGGACATGGCTGACAATGGTGGAGACTTGCCTTTGGAGGGCTGCGAGTAGAAACCGCGTGATTTGAGGGAAGTGTGGTTCGGCAGTTCGCCCAGCGGCGAGCTTGGGTAGGCCAGACATGGAAATTGAAAAACTCGTGGCACTGGGAACCAAACTAGACCTCTCGGGAGCAGAACTAAAAAGGTGGATAGAGGAAGAGACCGCCAAGCAAAGAGAGGAGAGAGCCTTAGAGCGAGAAGCTACTAGGGAGGCTACCGAGCGGGAACAAGAGGCGGCGAAAGCAGCCGCCGAGAGGGAGCTCGAGATATTGAGGCTGAGGCTAGAGCTTGAGAACAAGAAGGAGGGGAACCGCTCATCCGGAGCAGGAACTGACCTCGAGGGTCATAGCGTTTTGAAATTGAATCCGAACAAGCTCCTACTCGCCTTCGACGAAAGGAAGGACGACCTCGACGCTTATATAAGAAGGTTTGAGGGAATTGCCTTAAGTCAAAAGTGGCCAGAAAGCCAATGGGCCACCGCCCTAAGCACGTGCCTCACGGGGGAAGCCCTTAGTGTGTATGGGCGATTGCCGCCCGTAGATGCCGCCGATTACGGCAAAGTGAAAGCCTCGCTGCTGAAGAGGTTCCGGTTCACCGTTGAAGGCTTTCGCGATAAATTCCGTGATGGGAAGCCAGTAGATGGAGAGACAGCCACTCAATACGCCGCCAGGCTTGGCCACTACTTCGACCGGTGGGTCGAGCTGGCCGCAGTGACCAAAGATTTTGAAGGTCTCCGAGAGCTGGTCATCAAAGAGCAGTTCTTAAAGGGTTGTCATCCAGCCCTGGCCATCTACCTGAAGGAAAGAAAACAGCCACATTTGGAAGGACTGTTGGAGATGGCCGACCAGTTTTTGGACGCGCAGGGTCACAGTAACCTGGGGAAAGCCGGGAAAGGCGAGGCCGAACCCTCAGCGAAGAAAAGTAGCGAGGGGGGCGGGCCTCCGCGGCCTGCTATGAGGTGCTACCTCTGTAATAAGACGGGGCACAAAGCTGCACAATGTCGTAGCCTGTACAACACCGGACAGGTGCCCACATGTCAAAGGTGTGGTAGGAAGGGACATAAGACGGACGTCTGCCGGGGCCAGACAAAACCTCAGGCGTCAGGCATCTATATGCCCCGACAAGACAGAAAGGACGGAAACGTCACGGATGGGTTTTTAGAGCTGAAGGATGGGACGAAAATTCCGGTCGTCAACGCGGTAATGACCCCGCGTCATAAGTTCCTGGTCGAGGGAATGCCAGTCGTTGAGGGCACAATCGGACAGAAAAAGATAACGGTTCTGCGCGACACGGGTAGTAACACGGTCATCGTAAGACGAGGATTGGTCGACGACGGCCTCCTCACTGGAACCAAAAAGCCGGTGTATCTCGTGGATGGAACCGTGAAAATGCTTCCCGAGGCCCATATCCACGTTAAAACGCCCTACTTCAACGGAGGACTCAAAGCCCTGTGCATGGACGGGCCCCTGTACGACCTCGTGCTCGGCAATATTCCCGGCGCTAGAGAACCGGACGACCCCGCGACTGATGTAGGGGTGGGGGACGACCCGATACCGACGGAGCGAGTGCAGGAGGACCCGGCGGAACGTGACACACAGGAGAGCCAAGACGAGCCAGGACGCGAAACCCGGGCGGAAGTGGAAGATCCCTTAACTCCGGCGTGTGCCGTGGAAACCAGGACCCAGAGTAAGAAAAAACAAACTAGATTGAAAAAACTACACGTGCCTCAAATCGAAGGGCTGGCCACCGACACGCCGGGCTTTGCAAAGGAGCAGGAAGAGGATGACACCCTGCGCCCCTGCTTTAAGCGGATTGGGGAAAAGGCCAGGGGAAAGACGGCCACGATCACGTATACAACCGGAGAGGGGCAAGGGCTTCTTTATCGAGTATACCGGGAGCGGTCGGGGAGAGAGACGCGCCAGCTCGTGGTGCCTCAGACCTACCGAAAAACTGTGCTGCAGGTTGCCCATGAAAGCATTATGGCGGGACACCTGGGGCAGGCGAAGACGAAGAGCCGTATCCTGGAAGAGTTCTTCTGGCCGGGATTGGGCTCGGACGTACGGCGGTTCGTGCTATCGTGTGACGTGTGCCAGCGAACAACACCGAAAGGAAAGGTCCCTCGCGTCCCACTGGGTGGGAGCCCCTTAATAGATACCCCATTTCAGAGGGTTGCTATCGACATCGTGGGACCGATGGCTCCGGCATCGGGCCGAGGGAACCGGTACATACTGACAATGGTAGACTACGCGACTCGCTACCCGGACGCCGTGGCTTTGCCCAGCATCGAAACCGAAAGAGTGGCAGAGGCCCTGGTCGAGATGTTCGCGCGGGTCAGAATGCCACGAGAGATATTAAGCGACCGGGGCTCGAATTTCACTTCCGAGCTAATGAAAGAGATCAGCCGGCTCCTGTCGATAAGACACTTGCACACGTCCCCCTACCACCCCATGGCGAATGGATTGGTGGAGAAGTTCAATGGAACACTTAAACTCATGCTCAAGCGAATGTGCTCCGAGAGACCCAAGGATTGGGACCGGTATTTGCCCGCATTGCTGTTTGCCTACCGGGAGGTGCCGCAGGCGAGCCTCGGCTTTTCGCCTTTTGAATTGTTGTACGGTCGCCACGTCCGGGGCCCGCTAGCCATTCTGAGAGAGGTGTGGACCAACGTCGAGCTCGACGCAGAGCTCCGGACCACCTATGAGCACGTGCTCGACCTCAGGAATCGCCTCGAGGAGACGTGCAAAATCGCCCACGAGGACCTCGCGAGGTCGGGAGCTCGTTACGCTCGATACTACAACCGGAAAGCCAAGGAGCGGACTTTCCAGCCGGGAGAGAAGGTGCTCCTACTGCTCCCCACGGACAACCACAAACTTCTGCTGCAGTGGAAGGGGCCCTTCCTCGTTACGAGAAAAACAGGAGAGGTCGACTACGAGATCCAGACCGCGACCGGCCTGAAATTGTTCCACGCTAACCTACTGAAGAAATACGAGGAGCGGGGAATCGAGAAGGAAGACGAGCGACAGGCCTGCGCGGTTCTCTCACTGACGGAAACCGAAGACGACCAGCCGATCCCTCTACCAGCATTCCAGAGAGAGGAAGGCCCCGGAGACGCGAAAGTTTCATCGAAGCTTAGTGCTGAGCAAAAGTCGCAGCTCGACCGCGTAATGCGCAGCCATGAGAACATCTTCTCTGACGTTCCGGGAAAAACCACATGGATACAGTGCGAGTTGAAGCAGACTACAGATACCCCCATCTATGTGCGACAATACCCACTGCCATTTGCGACCCACACGAAGGTTGAGGAAGAGGTGCAAGAAATGCTCAGGCTCGGAATAATAGAAAAATCCAGCTCTGCGTACAACGCACCCGTCCTGCTCGTCAAGAAGCCGGACGAAACAAATCGGCTGTGCGTCGATTTCAGACGTCTAAACGGCGTCTTAGTTCCAGACTCCGAACCCATGCCACGAGTCGACGCCGTTTTCGCCGCCGTCGGAAACAAACGCTACTTCTCAAAGATGGATTTTGTGAAGGGCTACTGGCAGATCCCACTCAGCGACGATTCCCAGCCCAAGACCGCATTTTCGACGATTTCGGGACTGTACCATTTTCGGTACATGCCGTTTGGGGTCAAGACCGCTCCGGCGGTATTTGCCAAACTGATGCGGAAGGTGGTGGATGGAATCCCAGATGTGGCCCATTACTACGACGATGTGTTGGTGGCTACCGACAGCTGGGAGCAACACCTCACTGCACTGCTGACACTGTTTGGCCGTATCCAAGCAGCAGGGCTGACCATTCGCCCAACCAAGTGCGAGTTTGGGATGGAACAAATTGACTTCCTGGGTCACCGCATCGGAAAGGGACAGCTCGCCCCCCTCGGAAAGACGCTCGACAAAATCGAGAAGGCGAGTGTGCCGACCACCAAGCGCCAGGTGCGGGCGTTCCTCGGACTAACGGGATACTACCGGGATTTTATTCCCGACTACGCAATGATCAGTGGGCCGCTAACGGACCTCACGAAGAAAAAAGAAAGGAACCAGGTGGAGTGGAGGACCGCTCATCAGTCGGCGTTCGACGAGCTGAAAGAACGGATCGCAAATCCGCCGATCCTGAGACTCCCAGATTTTGGAAAAGACTTCGTCCTCAGGACCGATGCTTCCGACACAAGTCTCGGAGCTATGTTAATGCAGCAGCATGACAGCCGCTTACATCCGGTGGCTTACGCGAGCCGGAAGCTGCTTGCTCGTGAGGCCGCCTACAGCACCATCGAAAGGGAGTGCTTGGCATTGGTCTGGGGAGTGCAGAAATTCAGTCCATACCTTTACGGTAGGAAATTCCTCGTACAAACCGACCACCAGCCGCTGAAGTACATCAATCAGGCGAAGCATCTGAACAGTAGAGTGCTGAGGTGGAGCCTCCTCTTGCAGGAATTTCCTTTCACTATCGAACATATCAAGGGCAGCGAAAATGTGGGCGCTGATTTCCTAAGCCGCTTGTAAGTCCGCCTCACTAATGAGGCTTTGTTTTTTCTCTATTAAGCCAATATACGTATGTTATGTTTACTCCGTACTTCGTTTGTATCCTCCGAATATGAAAACTTCCCACTGTTGGAATGTGCGCGGCTTATCTCATATGGAGCGCAGTTTGGTTTGCTTAGTATATGTACTCTTGATTTTTATTTTTTTTTTGTGCGCTATTGTTAGCCGAGTTTTTGTGAAGAGTTAGTTTAAATATTCACGGGTGAATCTTCTTAAGTGAAGGGCAGTGTCACAAAATCCGGCTATGTTACGTTATTCATGTCACAAAATCCGACTGTGTACGTTATCCATTCTCCCGGGCCAGACGCGTCCTTCCAAGAAATTCGCGGGGAGTGAGGTCTGGGACCCAGCTCCCCCGAAAACGAAGCGATGCTCCCTTTGGGGGAGGATGAAGGGACGAGCGGGCCAGCGCCCTGGGGTTTCTTTTTGTTTTGTTTTCCACGCCTGCGTGCTGGAATGCGGGGGCCCGTCCAGGGGGACTCTTTGGGGCAAAGGCGAGCAGTGTGAGCGGGAAACTCGGAAGCAACAGGCGGGGAATCGAAGCGCCGAGTCCGTGGAGCTCAACGGTAGCGGGCCAGGTCCGGACTGGGGAAGACTTCGACGACGAAGTGTGTACGTGTGATTGTGTGGCCGCTTCAAGCCGCCCAACCCACCGTGGTACCACCGGGACCATTCCTTCCCCCTTCGGACAGCGCCTCGCAAGACCGGCACTCCCGGACACTGTGAGACGAGATTTCCCCTCCACTCGCACTTTCCTTTTTATAGTAATTAAGGAAGCGGTATTTCTGTACTTGGTTTTTATTCTCACGGGTGTCCGATTGTATTATTTGATAACATTTAAGCTCCGAAGTTATTTTTTTTTCCATGTTCGGGGAAGCTCCCGCGTAAGAGATGGTTACTGCATTGTATTGAGCGGTAGACTTTGGGTTTTGCCTAATTCGTTGTGCGTTGAGTGATTTATCTTCGCCGCCCGTGCACCGGCCGGGTGAAGTGCGTTCGAGTCCTGTTGTTTTCGCAGCTCGGCACTTGTTTACCTTTATTGTGTTTTCTTTTGTTTTGTTTGTAGTATTAAATTCGTTTCGTTGCAAAACTGTGGTCTCCCCTTCATTGGCAAGACTCCACCGAGGCGTGGACCTATCGCCTGGTCGGCAGTCCTTTGTGTTTAAACAGAGAATATCAGCAAACCTTTGACAGTCAGACAGCTGGTGTCACGTTTCATGTTTCTGTGCAATCAAGAGAACCCTTTCACACGCTCATTTATTCAAACAAAACTGTCACCACATTTGCCGTCTTTTCTTGTATCATCTTATGGCAGTGAACAGGCGTCACTTGTTGGCTTTCAAATTGAGGTTGTGGAAATGGTGGACTTTATGTCTGCCTATTTTTCTTTGGAGGTAAACAGAACGAAGCTTGCTCGCGATTTGTTGATAATTATTTTTCCAACGTCACTGTATCGAAGCATCACTTATCAAGGTGATGAAGATGTCGATACGCGCGTTAGACGTATGCGTGTTCCACGTTCTCTAAAGACGTTCTTTTACAAACTACATACCATTACTTTGTACGTAAAAGCGTGGTTTAAAGAAAGAGGTGTAGATGTGTCATGGTGAACTGACTGTCCTTCATTCAAACAACCAGAAACCATCGCTCGTGTATTCATTTTTTTGCTGATACGCCATTTTTTTTTCATATGACGTTCTCTAGCGCACGTTGAAAAAGCAATTGAGCATTTCCCCTTCAGGGATTCATTTCTTGAACGTGACCAACGTTGACTGTGTCGCATACATTTTTTTTTGTCTGCTGAGACTTTGTGGCATATGGCGATCGTGCATGGCAGTCGGGCATTCCGACGTCAATGCGAAAGTAGTGCGTTTTTATTTTTAATTTCTTCAGCCTGATTCAGCAAGTGGAAAGTGTTTTTTTCCACCTGCGAGTCCAAGCCCGAGTGGCTCGGCACCTGTAAAGTGCGCGCTTTTTAATATGCCCTGTAATGTTCTTGCGGCGCATTTCGAATGTTATGTGACTTTTGCTACTCACCTTTGCAATAAAGGGGAAAAAATATGAAAGACCTTTACAAGTTCCTGTAATGCCGAATTAGAGCGCGACTCGTGAGGAGGAGGAAGGAAGGTTACGAAGGACGAGGAGGGGCATATCCTCTTCTCCGTACACTACTCCCCTGCTTCTCTGCCATCTATCGCTGAAGTTTCGAAAAACATTCTCGCTCTTGAGGAGGAGGAGGGGAGGGTACGGAGGAGAAGGTATGCCGCCTCCTCATCCTCCATACCCTCTCCTCCTCTCCTCTTTTCCCTTTCGTCCTCCCGTCCTCCTTCCCTCCTAATGTGCTCCTCCACCTCCCATCCTTCCCTCCTCCGCCTCTCTTAAGGTATTTCGACTTTGCGGTATACCGAGCCACACAATCTGAAAAAAGATGCCTATATATCGTGGTATTCTCACTCACCGCTTGTCCGGAGAAAGGAAGCATAGTTCTCACATCTGGAAGCTACACTCTGTCTAACTTCTGCCGGAGCTTGGAAACAGGACAACAGGAGCAAGGCGGGAGAACGAGACAGTGTTAGAGCCAACACTTTGAGGAAGCACGTGATTCTCTCGCTGCCATCTTACTTCTTCTCGGCTTTGTCGAAGACTGTTAGGCGTTTTTGTTTTCCGCAGCATTAGTCTTGACCGTGCTCTCCCGAGATGACACAGCAGAGCAGCGAGTGTACGTCCCTCGGTACCAGATAGATATTTTCCTACATGACTGGTACCAAGTTCTTTGTCTTGCACGAAATATTTGGTGAGTGATGTAGGCGAGAGATACAGGGCGCCCACAAGCAAGTGGTTGTCGACCTTGGCAGCACACAAGTTACCAACTTCGTCTAACCTGCCACAGAGGTCGATGGGTACAGCACAGACACGCACAAAAGGAAGATGGCCACTTGGCTAACGAGTACACCACGTTTTCTTACGTGCCTCCCTGAGATTAATAAATGCTGATAGCACTTGCCTGCACCACGGGTAGCTGGCATCTCCCCTCCTCCTATCCCCCTCCACCTCTACTTCTCCTCAACTCCTCCTCCTCCTCCATCCTCCACCTCCCTCCTCCTCCCTCTCCCTCCTTCTCTCTCCTCCTCCCCTCCTCCTCATACTTCTCCCCTCCTACTTCTCCTCCCTTCTTCCTCCTCCACTCCTCCTCTTCTTTTCCTCCCCTCCTCCTCCCTTCCTCCTCCTTTGTGAACCAAGTGATCCAAGTGACGTCACTCGTGACGCTCTAAACGTCTCACGTGACATGACGTGCGACGTCATTATGGGAACCAACCCATAATGCAACGCGCGGTTACGCCGACGGCGACGGCGGCGCTGCTCAAGCCGGAAATGGGTGCCTAATGGTGTACAGTCGAGTCCACTTATAACGATATCCAAGTGCCAAGAAAATACCGTTGTTATAACTGATAATTGCTATAAGCGGGTTGAGAAAAAAAAAGACAAAAGAGAGATCAAAACATTTTATTTGCAGGCAAGTAAGGTAGTGCAAGTGCAACTACTTGTTTGCAGAAAAGCCATAGTCTGTCAGCTTTGATTGCTTCACGCGAAGCTGGCGCACATATTTTTCTAGAGCATCTAGGTGCTCCTCGTAGCTTAGCGGGAGTTCCTTCGCGAAAACAAAGTCCCGGAGGGACTGTATCATCCGCTGGGCCTCCTGCGATGACAGTACCTGGGTAGGCTCCTCAACTGCGTCGTCGGAGTCGTCGGTCTCGCCGCTGTCCGTAGCACGCACACACGCGACGATCGCCTCATCACTGAGGCACTCGGACGTTTTCGCAATTCGCGACTCCAGCGACCTATAGGGGGCGCCACCACCAAGCAAACATGGCGGCTGAGTCTAGGTCGCGTCGGCTCGGCCGGGCCGCCTGAACGGGTGGCGCATTCGGTTTAACAAATTTTCTTTTGTTTAATGCCCAATTTTATAGGCATTTGAACTGAGATGGTTAAATGTAGCCGGTGAACATAAACTTGCCGAGCATAGTTTTGTTTTGCCGGTGTTTTTTTGTTCTTTTCATGTCAAACTTTCGTTCCGGTGACTTCGCTCAAAACCGAAACTGTGGGCTCCGGAGAAACGGTAATAGACTCTAATTAATTTTGATCATCTAAGGAAAGCGGAGATGGCTACAGAATTGTTCCATCGAGAGTAATTTTAGCTAACTCGCATGCCTCCACCATGCGACTTATCTGTCCTAGAAATGGAGCTTTTGTGCTCATCCGCGTTTAAGAAACAGCTCCAGTCGTCTGCTCGGTTAAGAACAAAGGCTGCAGGAAAATTACGAAAATTAAGCACGCGCTTCTTGAGCCAAGGAACATGTTAACCCGCTGGCGCTTCACTAAGCAGCTGATACTCGTATTTCAATGCAGGTTTTAGTAGCAATCGAGAAGTCATTTTGACAAGCGGGTCATGTATTATATTACGTACTATGTTACACTAAAGCGATATTAGTATATTCTTCGGGCTGAAATATGAACTTAGTTGACTAGCTATCAGGTGACCTGCAGAATAAAAGTATATTTGACAGACAGGGAGATACTATGCTTAAACTTAGCCAAATGGTTCTAGCCGGTAGCACGGAGACGAATGCGTACAAACTGAGGAGAGTCTTCATCGGAGATTCACCCAGAACCTCTCTGCATTGAACTTGACTTCAAATCCTGAACGGATAAAATGAGTATTTTTTGTGGCCGGTCAACCTGAGCAATGTAGACGTATATGGCTGCTGGCTTCGACGGGGGTATAATATAAATATTGGCGGCGCGATAGATCCTAATGCTGTGGCAGCTTCTAACTTTGCGAGACGCGTCCCCCCACCTTTTGAAAGCAGATAATTTCCCTCATTAATCATAGGCAGCGAGCAGGTTTTCCTGAATCAAGTAATCGCGAAATTAGCCCAACTCCTTCAGTGCGGTCCAGAGGCTTTTTCGGCGAAAAGCAGCCAAGATGAATAGCCAACGCGCCGGCCGGCGTGGGTGGCTCAAACTTGAAGCTAATCGAGCACAACCAAACTCAAGAAAAGCAGCTATGGAACCTTCCCATTCACTTGACTGCAACATTGGTGTTCACTCCAGTGAATCACCTCGTCTCTCGTCTATAGTCCACTGTTCTACATCCTTATAAAGAGACCACTTATCAGTTACCAAGTCGTCGTCACTTTGAATGTGATTCAAGACAGGCAAGAAATTATAACGTTTTTCCGTGATTCCTCCCCATCCAAGAAATCGAGAGCACGCGACCGTGTGTTGTGGAGTAGACGGGCTTTCAAACGCGTGATGGAAGGAAGCAATCGATCTGAGGCTTCACCACACACACTAATGAACACTCAGACAAACTTAAGAAATTTTCGAACCTTCGTCAAAATTACATTGTTCGCCACCGCGCCGACAACACGTGTCCGCGAAAGCCACCAGAGACGCAGAGACGCGCGGAGCGACCTGGACCGGCTGGTTCCCGGTTTTCCCGCTTGGCGGCGTCCGTTTTGCTGGAGTCGCGAATATCGTCTGCATGAAGGAAGTCGTCCAGACCTGATCTTGCGTAGAATGCACCGCAGGCAGATCGGCCATGACGCCCCGTCTGCAGTGAAACGTAAAACAAAGTCGGAGAAAGATAGTCGAAGCAGCGAGCACACAACCGGCGAGTGAGCGAACGAGTTGCACCAGTGGCGCGACCGGGCGTGCGGACGAGGCCAAAGCGGAGGCGGCGGCGGCTCCGGGAGGGGAGTTCGGAAGGAAAGCTGCTCCTCCTCTCGCTTCCTTCCTAGTAAGCGGCGCAGTCAACTTGTTTTCTAAGGGGTGGAAGGGATGCGTGGCGCGGGGCGCAGCATGCCGCAGAGAGCCGGCGGCGGCTGGCATTTTCGGTGCGCGCTGTAACCGGAATCAATCGCTATATCCGATATTGCAGCCCTGGAGCATCGTAATAAGCGGTTTATTTTACCATTAAAAGCATATGAAAGTGGACGGTGCCATCGTTGTTCATTGTTATAACCGATATATTGTTATAAACGGTATCGTTATAAGTGGACTCGACTGTATTCGCACGAGAGATCTTTATCCCCGGAGAAAGCCGAGTACGTCATAAAGCTGAGAGAAGGAAACGGCACGAGAAGGAGGAGGCAGTGCCGAAAATCTAAGCGAGCATTCGCACGACGCAGTCGCATATAGTTGAGTCGCCGGAGTTTTTCTT